ATAACACCCCCCACACTTTGGTGCCAAAAGATTGCTGCCATGCGGTATCTTTTCTGGAAGGGCATTTGTGATCTTTGGCACTGCGACTGTGTTGGTCTGCTTTGTTTAGGGCAGTTGTTCTCTAACTTTTTTCTCTGGGTCACACTTTCAGAATAATTTTTTTAATTGATAGAAATGCAATGGAAAACAAAAAGGAGCACCTCCTAGCAGTGCTTGTTTTGTAACATAGAACACAACTACAGCTCCACGTTGGGCAAAATATTTCTGCATTGCTGGGAATTGGAGTAGACGACCCTTATAGTCCCTTCCAACTCTGCAATTCTGTGATTCTGTAAAACTTTATAACAAGCATAGGCAAACTCGGCCCTCCAGATGTTTTGGGACTACAACTCCCATCATCCCTAGCTAAGAGGACCAGTTGTCAAGGATGATGGGAATTGTAGTCCCAAAACATCTGGAGGGCCGAGTTTGCCTATGCCTCCTTTATAATATGGTCATGGGATAGCCAGAAAGTAAAAAACAATGCAGCTACATAAGAACATGAATCATTCTCAAATACAATATTGATTGTCCTTGAATCTTCCCGCCACAATTGCTATTCTCTCCTGCCACACCCTTTGAGAACTACTGGTTTTGGGACACATTACCTGGGTACATGCTTATGTGTTTGGTGTTATGCAAGAGTAGCTTCTTCAGCTCATGTGGTAAGTTTGTTTGTATCATGTTTCGAGAGTACTATAATTTATACTAACACAATCTTTCTGGGAACCTATTTGGTAACAACAAGTATTATTAAAATGTTAATGCTTGCATATGCATTATTATTGTTTTTATATGGGGTTTAATGTTTTTTATATTCTAGGTTGCTTTGGGGCACTGTCCTGTGTATGAAAAAAGGTTAATAAATAGAAATAGATAAATAAGCAATATATTTAGCTGTACTTAGCATGTGGTTGCTAGTGTACTCTATGCAAGTGGGAGACTTCTGTCTCTGACATAGCTGCTGTTCAGTGCTAGAAATAGCCAGTCTTGTATGTGGACCTTTTGGACCACAGCTCAGCCATTTCTGTTTTCTGAAGCTTAAAATAACCACAACCCCACAGGATTATGTCAGCATTATGATTGCCACAGGTCAGGAAGGCTGCTATTGTCGGATCTCTGGTCAAGATACGTAACACAGGCAGAGTTCCTCCACCCTCATATTTTGAGGTTACAAAGTCCTATGTTGGGAGGGTGCCCACAGACACTCAACAGTCCAGGTGGTTCTTTTCTTTACTTTTGCCATGGAAGTCAGGCCTTTTCAGTGTGCCTCCTAGGTATGGAAGCAAGTGACTAATCTTGGAGTGCTTTTACATTGTCTTCTACAATTTCCACAGAACAAACCTGAGGTAAACTTTCAGAGAGCAAAACTTGTGAAGCAAAGATTTCTTCTCTTTAGTTCTGTTTCTGGTGGATGATCTGTCTCCCTGCCCCCTTTTTTTGCTCTGTTGCTTGTGCTTGCACTTTTATTTCCTCTTCCTTTCTTTTTTTAATTTTTTAAATCCATTACAATCCACTCCTTCCCGTTTTCCTTTTTACATTTGTCTTCCTTCTCACATTCTTGCTTATGTATTTCTGATATGCCAAACTTGATTCTTAGGCTGATTCTTGAGTGTTCCATTTCTACCTCCTGTGATGGTGCAGCGTGTATTTCAAAGAATCAGAGAATTGAAAGGGACAGTGAAGGTCATAGAGTCTAGCCCCCTGTTTTGCCCAATGTGGGGCTCAAATGCATGACCCTGAGATGAAGAGTCTCATGCTCTACCAACTATGTTGCAGGAGTGACTAGATATCCCAGTGTGTGTGTTCATTGGTCTAGCACAGATTCTGGGGGAAGGGATGTTCTAAAAGTTATCCTACTGCATATCCCCACTCCACCACATCTGCTGTTAAATTTTATAAAATACATGGGCTTGTACTATGCCCATATTTTCCCCCAGTAGGGCAATTTAGGATGGAAAATGGGCAGGAAGGAAAGCACCCCTTCCTCTAGAACTGCTATTCTGACCTAATTTACAGGCCTAACAGCTGTGTATTAAAATGTTGCAAAAGGGTGGGGACTTTATGGGGATTTGAGTCCTTCCAAAAGATGGGTTTTGGGGTTTTTTAGGCTTTGTGTTATGATTATGGGCAAAGAGTACTATTGGAAAACTCATGGACTTTAGAATATGTGGTTTTAATTCTTTAATAATCTTCCAGGTGGTGCATTTGCATGTGGTGTTTATGAATTGCATCACCATTAAACTGCTTAAATCAGTATATGAGATTTTAAAACCTTAATAAACATCAATCAAACAATAATCAAATGTTATCACAGTAGATTCCAAATCACAATAAAAATGTAGAACAAAAAGGGTATCCCTTAAGGTGGAACAGGTATTTTTTAATTAGGCCTGCCACTTGATTAAATTTTAGTTGATGATGTATCCACCTTCTTACCAACTGATTAAATATATATGATAACAACAGCAATTGAGGTGACCTTTTCAGATCCTAAGTATGGTGTGAATTTTCATTTCTAGTAGGAAAGGCCCTCTTTAGCAGCACAGAACATTAAATACCGCGTGTAGAAGTCTGTTTCCACCTGTGTGTGTTCATTTCTAATGTTTGTTATGTGGAAGTTGGCATGTTGTATCTTTGCTTTTCCACTGCAGTCCTGAATTCAGTGATAATTTGGTGTGGGTGAATTTTCCTTGTATTTGGAACATTAACATTGTGGTCACATGGGATGCAGCTTGGGGTGATGTCATATATCCACCTAAACAATCACCAGTGCTTCTGAGTGACTTGAAACTGTTAGTATGCAGTATTCTGTAGTTGTCCTTGGCAGAACTGACATGAAGAAATCTGTTGCTCTGGGAGTGCCTTTGTACTTTACATAGCTAATCACATGTGGTCTTCCAGACTTTTCCTTTGGACCTCTGCAAGTTATGCTGTCTACTGCAGTGTTTGGAATCACTCCATTGTATGACATTGTGTATTGTCCTCCCACCCACCCCCAATACTGCAGCCAATGATGTGAGGGAAAACTCACAACATGATGATTGGCAAGTGATTCTCTAGGGATGCTATTTGCAGCATTTTGTGTAGTTCCGCCTTTCAACAGGAATAGAAAACTATTCTAATTGTAGTAATAAAAAGTCTGATGCTGCCCTTATGAAGAGTTAGAGTCAGATTCAGGTTTAGCCAAGACAGTGGTTGACTTTGAGCAAATTTTCTTTAGCCTCAGTTTTCCACCTCCGAAATAGGTTAAAGAGCTGTGCTGCACACAAAAATGGATGGAAGACTTCAGTCATATACAAAGTATACCAACTTTTCTGGCTATGAAAAATAGAAGTCTGTCCTTTTTATCATTTGTTGTGATTGTGCATACAGCAGGCTGGCTGACCTCTGCAGTATCCAAGCACAGGAAGACCCATTAAAAGGTGAATGGATTCCTGTCAAGTTTTGCTGGCGCTTCTTGGCTCACACTGTTAATTTCTTGAGATTTTTGTAACCTCATGTTACATATAAAACCTTGGATGCTGTTCTGTGCCCTCCAGATCTTGAACTCCTCTGCAGTGGCAGGTCAGATTTGGAAATTCAGATTTTTGACTTGGGAGGTAATTAGCAAAAGCTAATATCGGCTTCAGTCCCTTAACGCACTGATAGAAAAGCATCCAGGAATGACTCCTGGACCTCAGAGATAAGCTGCCAGCTGCCACAGAGACTATAAAAGGGTGGTTCAAAGTCAAGCACAAACAGCTGACTTTTAAAAATGATTCTTGGTTTGTTGCTGTTGGTGACAGGAAGTCATGTTCCCCAAGCTGTCAGCTTCCTGCTTTTATTTTTTCCATTCCATCCACAGCAGATCAGAGTCTTTGTCATAAGACAGCTGTCTCCTCCGGCGGAGCTGTTCACCATCTGACCTAGGAAGGGGTCCACCCTTTTCCTTCAAAGAAATGAGCAAATGAATTTCAGTGTACTCTATTTTCACTAGTTGGATATCTTTTTAATGCTTGTTTTTGTTCTCCACTAGAGCTTACATTTCTCAGAGAAATGCTCTCTTGAGGATGAATGACTTAGGCATATAGGCACAACAAATGGACTTTATATTTGCTAGAAACAGGATTGTGTTTTTTGTAATTAAGTGGAAAGGAGATAGTGATGATCAGAATATTCTTATTGGGATGTGTGTATTTGATATTTTTATACTGGAATGCTGTAAAATGGGGGGGGATGCTTTCTTCAAGTGTCAGGTTAGCATAACTGCAGATTCTTTGATAGTATAACTTCTGGGAGAGCAGATCAGCACGATTCCCTGTCAAACCCTTTCAAGGCTTGTACTTTAATTCCTAGAGCTGCAGTCTTCGTTTGTCAAGCTATCACCTGCTGTATGCCTTTGTAAAACTACTAGTGTGCATGTATCTCTAAAACCATAGCTGCTTTAGTGGGAGAACCTTCCAACACAAGGGACTTGGGGGGTGTGTGTGTGTTGTAGACCTGAGAAGCATTTGTTAGCAAGCTTCCTGGTCAGTTAAAAGTGCTTCCTGTTTTGCCCTGAGAGCCCAACTTGTCTGGTGTGATGGAAAATGTTTAACTCTTTCCCAACTGGACTTGGGTTGGTGTTTGTTCTCCACACCCCTCTTGTTAGCCTTTAATAGTTTTGGCTAAATGTTTAGCAGTATTTGAAAGAAGTCGGCTAGATAGATTTGAGCACATGGTTTGTGGGACAGATCACAGCAGCCCAGAGTGGGAAGCATCATACAGTGGCTGGCCCCAGCTTCTCTGTAGCAAGCCTTAAAACTGCAGGGTTTTTTATTTTAAAAGCCTAGTTCTGACAGGGGTGTGTGTGTATGTAGGGGTGTGTGTGGAGATGAAAGCAGTGATTTAGATAAAGCTGATTTCTGAGCAGGGAAACGAATGTTGTGCTGCTGGTGATGCCAGCATCTGTGGCTGAGTAATCCTTTTCCTGTTTGCGGGATTTTTTCTCTCTTTTCAGAACGCCGCCTGAAGCTGGTCCACCATGCCATTAGTAACAAGGAACATCGAGCCAAGGCACCTGTGCCGTCAGACATTGCCTAGTGTTCAGAATGAGCTGGAATGCGTGACCAACATCACCCTGGCAAATGTCATTCGACAGCTGGGCAGCCTGAGTGAGTACCATGGCCAGCCTGCCTGCTGCCCTCAGGAGCTGCTAGGCTCTTGATTCAGCTGCCTTCTCTCTCTTCTTGTGTTCCTATTTCTCCCCCATCTGTCTTCCATGGGTAGTGCTAAAAGATCTTCCTATGAAACCTCCTTGAACCTTCTCTCTCCTCCTTGAATTTCCCCCTCCTCTGCTCAACCAGTCTGTGTTGGAGAGGGATGAGCAAGGGATGACTGCAGCTGAAGCACAGCTGGAAGGAATACAAGACAGGCAGCCTCCATACAGAAGCGCTGGGCTGAGAACCTTCAATATGTTGAGCACATTATCAAGTGTCCCTCTCATTTGTTTTCAGTTTTTAGTGTGCTAGCATTCCTTTTTATCAGATTCCTGTCATGATGCAGATGCAGCTACTTACTGATTTGAAGATTATGCATGTACCACATTGTATACTGAAATTCCCTCATGGAGACTATGAACCGTCACTCTATTTGGTTTTTTCATGCTGTTTATTTCTGTGGATGATGAATATGTTTTGGCTTTTATTTAGCTGGCTTTGTAAAAGGGCAGGATTACTACATGGGCAAAGGTTTAAAAAGAGAGAAATCGGCCACTTGGGTCTTTGTTACTCTTTAAAAATCATGATGGGATTGGAGTTGCATTAACTCTGTTTCTCTAGACTTTTGACTTTCTAAAATGCTTGCAAAGGGGTCCTCATATCCTCTGTGAAGTAGATACACATTAGAGAGTGCCTGTATAAAACTATGTAGGGTTAACGTTGAATAGCTGTGTGAATTGATTTAAATAAAGTTGTTTTTTAATGCACATATTTCCTGAACAAGCGTACCTGGTTGCAATTAAACAATTAAAACAACTGATTTGCAACTTTTAGAGCTTTTTACAAGCAAAGAGCAAAATCAAAAGCCTTTTGGTCATGAAGATATAGGTCTTTTGCACTGAGAAGATATAGGTCTTTTGTTTGGTTTTCTCCATGTACATGCAAGGATACTAAGCAAGATCACTTACTTGATTACTTAATTGAACAAAATGGATCACATATGAGTAAACATCCATAAAATCAGCCTTTAAGTATCCATATCTTTGTAGAAGCGAGGGCTAATACAATATGTATGCGGATGAGCTAGAATCCTCCTCTTGTTAGGTGTCATCTGAGCCTGCCTGTATCTGGGCTGCTGCTTTTTTCCTTTCCAGCATAAGAGAGACTGTTCAAGGAGGTAGGTTTGTGGGCTGCGTACCACTTTCTTTAATGTGGTTCCTTGTGGAGTTGCAAAACATAGTGCGTCTGTTTCAACTGGGCCAGCATACCATGGCTGGAAAGCAATACAGCAAGCCCTCAACATACGCAGGGGTTACATTCCAGGGCTTGTGTCTAAAGCCAAAATCATGTATAGACAAAACACATTAGGTGCAGTGGCAGGTGGGATTAATAAGAAGGATATTGAAATGCTGGAATGCGTGAGGAGGAGGGCAGCCAAGGTGCTAAATGGTCTGGAAGCCAAGCCTTATGAGGAACAGTTTAGCTTGGAAAAGAGGAGACTAAGAGGAGATAGCCATCTTAAAATATCTATAGTGCTGTCACATGGAAGATGGAGCAAGCTTGTTTTCTCCTTCTCTAGAGGGTAGGACTCAAACCAATGGGTTCAAGTTACAAAAAAGGAGATTGTGACTAAGCACCAGGAAGAACTTTCTGACAGTAAGAGCTGTTTCACAGTGGAACGGACTCCCTCGGGAGGTTGTGGGCTCTCCTTCACTGGAGGTTTTTAAGCAGAGGTTGGATGGCCATCTGTCATGGATGCTCTAGTTGATTCCTGCATTGCAGGGGGTTGGACTAGATGACCTTTGGGTCACTTCCAACTGTACAATTCTGTGATTGCCGAAGTCTTTTATCTTGGATGCCTGCCCCTCCTTCCCCTTTTAATTGTTTTGCCAAGCATGTGAAGCTGAATGCACCCAAGTTAAATGTGAGTAAGTTGCAGGATGCATCCATAAAAGGGATGGCCTAGGAAGTTGGCAGACTCAGAAATCCCATCTCTGCTTCCCCAGGGATAGGCCAGTTCCCTTGGGTGCACAAGCACCATGAGAAAATAAAATGTGTGTCAAATTCATTAGCAGGTGTTGCCATTTATCAAGGGTATGTGTGCTAAAATCAGTGGAATGGCCAGGACTGCACCAGAATAAAGCACAGTTCCCACAGTACAGGGTTTCAAAAGAGCCATCAGATAATACTATTTGATAAAGTGTATATAGCAAGTGCAGCTTTACTAGATGCACATGCATAGACTCAGACTGTATATCAGTTGCACCGATAACTTAATGTGCAAATGCATAATACAATATCAATGCGCTTTCCTCTCTTTACATGGTGAAACAGCTTGAATGTAAGTGTGGCTATCCAACACTATAAATGGACTGGTTCAGTTCCATGAGAGTGGGAATAAATGTCCCTTCAAGCAGGTATGGGCAGAACATAGCTCTGTGGTTGAACACATGGCATTTAGAAAGTCCCAGGTTCAATCACTGGCATCTCAATTTCAAGTGATCAGGTGTTGGGTGGTGGGAGATATTTGCCTGAAGCATTAAATTGCTGCTGCTAATCAGAGTACATAGCACAGGGCTAGAATTTATTTTGACTTTATGTAAGGTAGCTGTATCTTCATATATACATTGAAACTGATTCCCTTGACAGAAGTCTAGTTGCAGTGCAGGCACCCCTTTTTGTGTGAGGGAATATACCATAAAAGCAAGTATTCCACAAAGCTGTTTAGGGGAACTCCTGCTCTTCATCCGGGTCTAACTAACAGTGAATATTGCTTAAACATATTATGTGGTCTTGCTGACAATGAGAACCCACTGCTAGCAATACTAAGGAAAACAAATATTCTAAGTTATTTTGTTGTGCCCACAGCTTTTATGGGTGGGCTTTGAGGCTGGTATATCTCCGAAGTTTGGAATCTGTATACATTTTGTAGCTATTAGTAGCTGAGGCTTGATTGGTGGCGATGCTGAAACTGAATTGCTTTCCCAGAGTTTCTAGCAGCTGACTTAGAAGATTCCACTAGCTGCTTCTGCTTTCAAGGCAGCATCACCTTTGCTTCCACCTAAACGTATTAAAGTGTCTTTCATTTAAGACTATTTACAGTGGTACCTCCGGTTGTGGAAACCTTGGGATCCGACCCGGAGCTCCGGAACGGATCCCGAGGTTTCCACAACCGGAGGTGCCTGTTCTGCATATGTACGTGGCGTGGTAGAGTGCTTTTGCGCATGCGTGAGCGGCAAAACCCGGAAGAATACTTCCGGGTTTGCCGCTTTCGCAACCTGAAGTTTACGTTACCCGCGGGTACCGTAAGCCAAGGTTCTGCTGTACTCACAAAAACAGTGAATTTTTGTACTTGTAGCCTGCCTTTCAGCCCTCTGGGACCTTCAGGGCTACTCACTAGATTTGACACTGCTTGGGGATGAGGATCTCTCTTCTTTAAATCCTTCCCTTATTTCCTTTGTGTTATACTTTAAAATTTACACAATCCACTGTGCTTGCATGAGAAGTTGACCTGCAGAGCTAAACTGAATACTGAATGGTTTACTTTGCTTTGTTGGCTTCTTAAATACACCAAACACTGATTTAGGGTACTTGGGTACCAGTGGGAACTTCAAGTCTTCTGTAGTTTTGAATTTCATCTTTAAATTTTAAATTGCTTAACTTCAGGTTTCTTCCTTCAGAATACTTGTTGTAAGTGTCTAGTCTGGCAGGAACATTAACATCTCCCAACTCAAATTCGGAGGCATTGTTTTCAACCTTGAAAGCACCTTGCTTTTTTTGTGCTGCCACCTGCAAGTAATAAATGACTCTGTGCCTACTGTGAAAGAGAGCCGAGAGATGGGGAGTTTCTTTTGGCAGCATTTAATGAAGTGAGTCTTTTTGAGCTTTTAGAGGACAATGAAATGTAGCTGTCATTGTGTGTCTATCCAGTAGACCATCCTAGAAGCTAAAGAGATCACAGACCCACAAGGTGAAGGCTAAATGCAACAATATCATCTGATTCATGGTTGCCCTCCTTCTTTATTACTTTATGGAAGTCTTTAAGTTTTTTGTTTCGCTTCCTTCCTTGTTTAATGATGCTGTGGAAGGGTCATGTTTAGCTAGATTGGTTTGTAGACTTCTTCCCTACATGATTTGCTTGTTACAAATGTCCTGATTAGGAGAGCAAAACATGACTGTTTCCAGTCATTCCCTCCTGAGATAAGAGGGCTAAAATATTTATGTATAAATACTTAGCACACCTATGCATGCACATACAATTTCTGGCACCCCTCTACCAATTGACATGTGGGGTACATAACAAAACTATAATGAAAAAGGAGCCTTTGCCAGCTTGCTTTATGACACACAGAGAGCAACAAATTGTTCATTTAGAATTATAAAGTTCTGCTATTCTTTTTCAGGTAAATTTGCTGAAGACATATTTGGAGAGCTTTTTACTCAGGCAAACACCTTTTCCTTTCGTGTAAGCTCTCTAGTCGAGAGAGTTGACCGCCTTCAGATCAAAGTTACTCAGCTGGATCCCAAGGAGGAGGAAGGTAATGGTGCAAAATTGATACACTTTTAGGCCAACTACGCTAAATTGCCATAGCAGCAGCTGCAAAATGCTTGTGGACTTGGAATGAACTTGACACCTGCAGACTGTCAGAGTGTGGTAGCTAACTTGCTTATCGCCCCATGGATGTGTGTGTCACTTGGTAGTAATGGCAAAAGTGAGGACCTCTTGCTCACCTGCTCTGCAGGTTTAGGGACACACATGCATAAGCCTGATACAGCAGCAGGCACCTTTTTTTCCTTGTAGCTCCCTCCAAAGAGCTTCTGTCCTCTCCTCTTAAGTTACACTGTTTAGTTGTTCCTGCAGGCCATGCAAGTTAGCTGCAGGGATTTTGGAGAAAGCTGAAATTGGAGGGCTTAATGAAGCAAAAATACAATCTGTAAGGATTCTGAGCTTTATTGGTCTCCAGAGATTTTTAGAAGGTGGTAGTTTTTGTCAATAACCATAATTCTCTGTTGTAATAGATATGTTCCAATACCTGGCTGCTATTTGACTGGTCATTAGGCGAAAGAGGGGTTTTGGTTTTTTATGGGGGTGGGTGGAGCTGAACTGGTCAAAGGCCAATTCTACTTGGAAGTTTTTCTGAATGCATATAGATCTTCTCTTTGATTAAGGGGGGTTTGTCTTTCCCCCCCCCCCCATGTTCTGTTTTTGTGTGTATGTTTCTTTTCTTTTTTAAAAGCGTAATTTCAGGGGATACTGTCTTGAAAGCTTTATTGATGTGGCAGAAGGATCCCATGTTGTGACAGCAGAGAGTATTGAGAACTATAACTGGGCAAACATTGGCTTAGGTTGTGTTTGAAGTGGCTTTATTTTCCTTATTCTTTCATTTCTCTCCTCTTAGTGTCTCTGCAAGGTATTAACACCAGGAAAGCCTTCAAAAGCTCCACAACCCAGGACCAAAAGCTCTTTGACAGAGACTCTCTCCCTGTGCCTGTCCTTGAAACTTATGGCGTTTGTAATATGCCTCCACCTCTTAATATCCTCTCGTCCTACAGGTAATGCACCTTATGCTTCTAGCTAAGTGGGGAGGCTGCCCATTCAGTTGAGAAGGTAATGGACCTGCTCTTAAAGGGCTTTCTTCTGTAAAAACTGTGGTGTGTTCCAGCTAGCCCATAAGAAAACCTGCTGACTCACCAAGGGGCCAGCGGACCTTCCTTACAAAGGCTAAAATGTCTTGGCCTTTTTAGTTGATGAGAGTGGTGGGCAAAGACTACACAATACAGATTTGTAACATTAATGGGAAAACATTTTCTGCTACAGTACTAGAACACTCAGTTGAAATTAGGAACTGGTTTTGAAAAAAGAAGAAGCACTACTTCACACAGCATGCAGTTGACTTCTGCATCACGCCCCCAGCAACTGGTGATGCCTTCTAGTCTTCGAAAACTGTTAAAAAGCAGTAAACAAATCTGTGTAATATAGGGCCCATCTGTGGTGGTTGGTAGCCATGATACGTAAATGAAACTCCCATGTTCAGAGCCTGCCTAGCCTGAGTATGCTGGAGATGTGCTGTGCATATGAGGCTCTAGAGCCAGCTAGCCAGTCACTGCTCAACTAAGTTGAGTCTTTGCTGCAATTCAGCAAGATGGTTCTTAACATTGCCTGCTCTGCAGTGGAGGGATGTCTAATGCCATGAGCCTGCAGACTGGATTTCCTTTAGCCAAACGGCTCAAGGGCCATATTTCTCCACCCGGAGCAGTAGCATAATTTCATGCTCCTTCTGCACACCCTTGCCAGATCAAGCATTTGATGGAACAGCATGTGGAAGGTGGAGAGTCAGAACAGGAGGGTTGCATGGTACATCCCTACCTTGCAAGTGCCTCTTCCAGTGGGAAATAAACTGCCCCTGCCAACGGAGGCCTTTTGCTTTCAAATAGAGGATATGTCTGTCCATGAGGTCTACACTGGGCGTGGGCAAGTGCTTACCTAGCAGCTCCCTATATTATTTCCTGATGTGTTTCCCAATGTGTTATGGGGAGAGGCTGCTATTTAGTGGTAGTGCTCACACTTTCCATGCAGAAGGATCCAGGTTCAATCCCTGGCTTCACTAGGTAGTGCTGGACTCTGGCCTGAAACCACAGAGAACCACTGCCAGTCATTATGGAGCTAGATGGCAGGGGTCTTATGTGGCCTGGAGGCCTCCATTCAGTTCTCCCTGCTACTGAGGTTATTTGTAACTTCCCTTTTGGGAATTTTGAGAATTGATGTGCTTTGAAAAACGGTTCGGTGCTTTGTGGTATAGATTTGTAGTCATAGCAGTAAATAAGTTTCTGTGGTGGCAAGCCTAGCATATAACTTGGGTGTTTGTTCATACAAGCTCTTTTGTGTAATCTTGCTGTTCCTTTCTTACTCCCTTTGCGCAATTTGCAGTGCATACATTTGCACGTATTATTGCCTGAAGTGGGTGCAGACAGTTCTTCTGAAAAGTGTGATTGTCTGTTGGTCCTTTTGCATCTCCAGAGACTGATACATCCTAGAGGAGAATGTGCCAGTGATACCAGACAGCTTTTCTTTGCTTCCCATCTAATTATGTCATGTCATCTTGTGAAGATAGTACACATGGTGCAATCGGAATGGGATCAGGGTTAAGAATACACATATTTACTCAGTCCCCATCAACAAATATCTTTTGAATAGGTAAAAAGTAATTACTGATAGCTGGAGGCAGCTGTCTTTGAGATGCGACTGCACTGCAGTGGAGGTGTGTGGCTGTGAGCTAGTGACTGAGAACCTGTTTCCTCTCCATGATCAGGGACTATGGGGTCTCCCATCCCCAGACTCTACAGTTTAAACAGGTGTCTTGCTTCTTTCAGGAGCAGCCAGGTGGGCAGAGTATAAGTAATAAATTATTATTATTATTCCTTCTTAGCCTACTTATTAGAGCAGAGAATCTCTGCTCATCTTAGGGTGAGTGGGAAGAGTAGAGAAAGAAACTCACCTAATACTTAACACCAGTTTTAATATACTTCTTCCAGGTGTGGCCTCTTCCACGTCCCCCTCCTCTTCCTTGGTTGTCTTAGAAACTTAGAAGCTATCAGCCCAAGTTTGGAGGACATGCAGCCTCTTATCTTATACTGAGCTGCAGCCCATCGTGTCTGATTGGACTACTTGTGAGAAAGCAACCAGTTTAGACTCTTTCCCACATGGGAGTCGTAGTCCAACAACATTTGAGAGGGCAACAGGTTCTCTAACCCTGATGAATACTGTGAAAAATTGCCTTCTGCACCTGGAAGGCACAGCAGATGCCCTGGCTAGTGCAGGATGGGATGGAAAGATTCAATCCTTTTCCACCTGCCCCAGACAGTTTTTAAAAAAGAGGTGGGAGGTGTTTTCATTCTTGGACCACAGCGTTTGCATCTGAAATTTGGTGCATCTTAGTTGGGCTTTATGTAAACATTTGACTGTCTTGTGGTGAGTCAGTCTCTCTTTCTCTCTCCCCCACCCCCTCCTAGGGATGACGGCAAAGAAGCACTTAAATTCTATACAGATCCGTCATATTTCTTTGATCTTTGGAAGGAGAAAATGCTGCAGGACACGAAGGATATCATGAAAGAGAAGCGGAAGCATAGGGTAAGATGAAGGGTATCTTTTGCTCTTTGTGGGTTTTTTATCCCTTAAACAGGGAAAGGCAAGATATAAGATATTGCCACTGTCTGAATCCAGGCAGCCCTTTTTTGAAGTGGACATGAACACACAACAGGGTTGGTTCTTTTTATTTCAGTTTAAGTAGATAAAGTGGAATCAAATCTGCATCATTGGGTGTTTGTGCTGCGACAAGTCATGCCATTTATTTACCTATGGAGATAATATTTAGAGTCTCTTCACAAATTCCAGTGTGGTGTTAACATCTCTTCATTGAATATAGTGAGAATTGCATCAGAGTAAACACAAATACATACGATTGGACTACAAGCTTTTCACTCTGAAGAAAAATCTGGCTTTTGTACTTATTTGTTGTAACTCATCAAGGCTGTCTTTAACATTCTGGAAAATAATTAAGTGCATTAGGAACATTTTCCTCCCTTTCCTCTGCAGTGTGTGAATTGTGTTGGGATTGTGCCCAGATGAAGCTTTTCCAAAACTAACCCCCTTTCCCCTGATCTGAGGCCTGCAATCCCTGGCAGAGGTGGGGGGGGAGGAATAAAGGGGAAGGACTGAAGCCCCACTTATTTTCCCGAATTTCCATGGCAGAGTGGCAGGGCGGGGAGAGAAGGCAAATGGGCTCCAACACAATATGCTAAAAGGTGTTTTCTCTGAACCAAATTTTCACACTCCCTCTCCTTGATGTCTTCTGAGGCAAAGGGAGCCATGCTTCTCTTTTGCTTTGAAAGGGATTGTGGCTGTGCAGATTGTGGTTTTATGGCACGTGCATGAAGGTAAAGGTAAAGGGACCCCTGACCGTTAGGTCCAGTCGCGGACAACTCTGGGGTTGCGGCGCTCATCTCGCTTTACTGGCTGAGGGAGCCGGCGTACAGCTTCCGGGTCATGTGGCCAGCATGACTAAGCCGCTTCTAGCGAACCAGAGCAGCACACGAAAACGCTGTTTACCTTCCTGCCGGAGCGGTATCTATTTATCTACTTGTACTTTGATGTGCTTTTGAACTGCTAGGTTGGCAGGAGCATGTGCATAGTTGCAGACAATTCAGTATAGAAGGAGTTTTTTGAAGGTAAGAAATGAACACTATTCGTCTCTTCCACCTGAGTGGCAGGTAGAGCCTTTTGGGAGCTGGGACACAAGGTTTGGCATATTAGTAGCTTCTCCTATGTCCTATGAAATCTAGGGTGAGGGGCAGCACTTGGTCGTCTTTGTGTCTTTTGTTCAACATCATTGCAGGTTATTGTGGTAACTCATAATCCTTTTTATATATTTTCTAGAAAGAAAAGAAGGATAATCCAAACAGAGGAAATGTGAACCCTCGGAAAATCAAAAGCCGGAAGGAAGAATGGGAGAAAATGAAAATGGGACAGGAGTTTGTTGAGTCGAGGGAAAAACTTGGACCAGGAGGGTAAGAGCTTATTCAGCAAATGGTCTGCTTGGTTGATCTGAATATGATCCACATAGCTCTGCTGTTCCTCTGGTTTAACATTTCAATGCCACTCTTATTGTGGCTTTTACATTCTACCAATAATCCATTTGGTGATGAGGTTTTATAACAAGTCCAGGAGTGAAACGTTTGTCATAAGTTTGCAATTTGCTGCATGTGTGTGGTGCTTAGGGGAGGTTACTTAAAATTGGCTGAGAGTCTTTAACGACGTGTTTTCAGAATTTGATTATCCTTGGGCTGGCTTCAGTGCAAGCACAGCAGAAGTGCAAAAAACAAAAATGCAAGGAGCTTGAGGTTTCCATTTCTTGAATAGCAGCCCTGTGTCACATGGCAGCCCACGTGGAAACTGGAGGGGCTCTCTGGCTGCTTGTGATCTGGCACAGAGGTGGTCTGTTGCTCAAAGCAAAGTCAGGATTCGTATTGAGCATGACCCACCCATAGGCATGCCTGAAGCAGCTTTTCAGATCCTAGCCCAAGTCAGCTTTCTGTATCTCTGGTGCAGAAGTTCAAGGGCTTGAAAGCTGATTTCCCCACTTGATTTTGATAGCTGTCTGCAGGAGTCCTGTCTCATTCTGCTTTCACAAAACCCTCTCCCACTCCCAAATACTGCATGTTTATTGATTTGCATAATTCTGAAATGGGATAAAACGAAGAGGAAAATGAGCAGCTTTGTAATAGATGTTAAGTACGTGATAGTGGGTGCATGTAACTGCATGCTATACAGCCTGATGGATCGTCTTAAAGTAATAGCTGCTGAACTTGCATACTGGTGCTTGGAGCCATTGCAAGTGGTAATAGGGACTGAGGTAGCTGCTCCTGGTATGACTTACTGGAATTAAAGTCAGAGCATGCTCTCCAAGCTGGCCATTCTTCATGAGGAACACAGCCATTTATAAGTAGAGAATTCTCTCTGCAGAATCCAAATTAAGGGTACTTTCTTCACCCAAACTTGACCACAAGCTGTGTGTTCCTGTTTGGCCCCAGCTCATGACTGTAGAGGTGGCACTTCGGACATGGCGTTCTGGCATTCAGAACAATTCCCAGCTGGTTAGCTTGGCAGCATTCTAGGCGGTAGCTTTCTACCCGGAGAGATAAGCACACAAGATGATTCTGGCTCTTTCTGATACTCTCTTAACAGAGAAGGGAGGGATCAGAAATGGAACCGTTTAGTAGCCTTTCTCCTTTTAGTTGAATCAGAGATTTAATGGAACTGTCCATTTCAAGGTTGAATGCCACAGCAGGTGGGGAGAAGATGGCAGGGACCAGGTTTAATGGCCACTTCCCCTATAAAAGAATGTGGCCTTCTGTTTTAGACCCATGTAGTATGAAGCTTCCACCCATTTTGCATTTTCCAAGCTTTCCTTTTAGGAAAAGAAACCCTCATTTTTCTTCCATACCTCTCTCTTGTTTGTGGATTTTGCTTTTAGTTCTTGCCTTAGCTTCCACAGAATTGCATAATCATAGTCTGAAGAACACCATTCCTGCCCTTTAAGTGAGTGGACTGGAAAGCTGTGTGCACTCAGGCTGTGGATACTTGTTTGTTCCTACTTGCTGTCCCTTTAAAAACATTAAAAACATAGCTTGTCTAAAGCTGCTCCTAAAATTGCAAGCATTTCTGTTGCAAAAGAGAAGCCTTTGGCTGTGCTGGAATGGAAGGATGATTGGCAAAGGTGTGCCCTTGCCTTGCCTCTTTTCCAGTGTGCCTTCTGCTGGGCCCTGATCTGAAGGTTATTAGAAGGGGCTGCCCACACTATCACACTGATGTGGTCTAGCAGTGAATTGTAAATGTCAATTAGATAACTTTAAGGGGTTTTCTTAATTGTTCAGGCAAGCAAGTGAAGCTTCAGTAACTGTGTATTTATGTCCATCACCTACAGCTGGTACCTGTCGGCTTGGAGACATATAGCAAATTTGTAAAAACAAATGAAGCCTATATCTGAATCGGGTGCAGCACTACAGACATAATGCTGGCCACACAAATGAGTGTTTGTGATTTGCCTGAGTTGGTGTGATCATGAGCAGGCTCCCAGGACTGCACTTCCCACCTTTGGCAGGAGAAGGTTGTTTGTGTGAATTATTCACCTGTGCTTTATCTTAAAGCAGTTCCTATACTGGACACTTCACTATTTCTAACTGAATCCAATCTGTATATGGCTAGATCACTTTCAAATGTGCATGAAGGGACAGTTGGAGCTCCTAAAAATTGGTGGTCCTTTGGAGAGGACTTCCCAAATGTTCAGAACACACGTCGCAAATACATGTATGCACATATATTCCTTTCTAGCTCCTGCCTGAAAAAGTATGGCATATGCAGCCCCACCTCACTCTATAAAGGTCTGATGCAATGAGAGCAATCTGGGGAGCTGGAGAGTCCCCTCTATACCAGTGTTAGAAACTGAGATATGAAAGCTAGGAGCTAAATGGCACCTTTAAGATAGGTTATGGGTGCAACAACAGAATGTCTGTTGCTGTTGTTTAGTTGTGTCCGACTCTTCGTGACCCCATGGACCAGAGCACGCCAGGCACTCCTGTCTTCCACTGCCTCCCGCAGTTTGGTCAAACTCATGTTGGTAGCTTCAAGAACACTGTCCAGCCATCTCGTCCTCTGTCGTCCCCTTCTTCTTGTGCCCTCCATCTTTCCCAACATCAGGGTCTTTTCCAGGGAGTCTTCTCTTCTCATGAGGTGGCCAAATTATTGGAGGCTCAGCTTCAGGATCTGTCTACCCCCTTCCAAATAAAAGCTTTATTTCAGTATTATATGCAATATCTCATTCTAATGAGTCAAATTTATATAACGTGATTTCCTTTTTTAAAGCCATAATCTTTATTGAAATTTTCACAATACATAATGAAAACAAAATAGACGTATATATAATGTTGACTAAGCAAAAGAACCGAACAGTGGGAATGTGCGTAAACACAGCTCATAGAACATGCAGTTGTAACAGTAGGGGACACAACTTGTATTTTAATTTTGTTTAATTAATAAACTCCATTCTCTTGCTGCTTCCCGTGTGATCTCATAATGTTCCCTAGCTGCAGCTGCCCTGCCTTGCACACATTAGCAGGAGAGTCATTGGGATTGGAAGTCTTTTGACAGGGGCTGTTCTCTGACTCTTCATGGGCACACAGCACCACTCTGGTACTGAAAATGGTAGCCTCTTACTAGACTTTCAATCCAAATGATCTGGCAAGATGCTACAGTTTTCAGTACCAGAGTGGTTCTGATCTTGATGGCATTGTTTGTATTTCTTCCTGACTTGAATATTCTGGAAGTATTCTTTACTTGGGGTCCATTGAAGCCTTGGAAGGGAAGGGTTTTTCTCTGATGTAGTCCATCTTGTCCTTTTGCTGATTTTTAGATACCCGTCTAATATGGTCTATCAGAATGGTAGCATTGGTTCCAATGAGAGTGTTGATGCCAACTACTACCCCCCGCCTCCGCAGCCAGATTCACCATCGCCTCCTTTGTTCACAGAGGACAGTCTTCCACCACCACCAATGGAATTTAGGTAAGCACCACTGAAGGACCACAATCAATGGAATGAAAGAAGCAAGCTGTTTTGCTTTTCCATAAAACAAGTGCTTCCAATAAGACCACAGTGAGCCTGTCATATAAACTCCATCCATGAAGCTTGTAGAGGTAGCTTGGGAGGAGAAGTTGTTTTTTAAGCAATCCACAAAACACCTCACAAACAAGGGTGTTGCCCCGTGGTTTCTTGCCAGATACTGCTTAGGGTTGTGTTGCGCAGCACATTTACCCTTCATGGAGAGATCAGATTTCCTCCATGTTAGGCTGCTATGTGCAACCCAAGTGTCTTGCCATGATTGCGCATGACTGTCAGCCACTGTGAATCCAATTGGTGAGGAACAGCTGTAGCTACTCTCCAGACTGGGGAAGCGTTTTACTAAGAGGGAGAGTATACTACTCCTTAGGGGAGGTATGTGGAGGAGGGGGGGAGTTTAGGTGAGAATTCACATACAGTGGTACCTCATCTAGTGTCCGCCTCGTCGAGCATCCGCGGCAAATCCAGAAGTACCGGAACGGGTTACTTCTGGGTTTGCGGCTCATGCATACGTAGAAGAGCAAACCTCTCTGTGCGCGTGCACAGACACGGCACTTTGTCCAGCGTCCTTTTCAGCCAGCGACCAGGACTCTGGAATGGATCCCGGTCGCAAAACGAGATACTACTGTATTTCTTTTCATTACCATGAAATTGATGTCTCTCTCATCCTAACATCCTGACATTCCTATGCAATTTTGGGTTAATGTGCCATATTCCTAAATCAAGTTCCGATGGGTTTCCTTCCCTCTTCAGGGTTGCTTTAAGAGTGGGTCCTGTAGCTATCTTAGCTGGAAAATGCTATTGTGGAATGATGGGATTCCAAGGTACCAGCATTTGCTGGAGCTGGATTTAAAACAAACAAACAAACAAACAAACAAACAAACAAACAAACAAACAAACACACCCTGGCAACAGGAATTTTTAATCTTTTGAGCAAGCTGTGCTCAAATACTTTCACATGTGTTCATGTGTTGGAATACTTTCCAAAGTCAGCCGTTGGATGCTAAACAGAATATTGGAACATAACTCCCAAACTCCTGGATCTCTTAGCCAAGAGTGATCTAATAAATTAAGCAAGTTACTATCAGGAAAACCTGAGAAATAGTGCTTACCCTTTTCCAATTTATGATATTTGCAAAACTCATGGGACATTTTTTCCCCTGTCTCCTTCCCAAATCTCTACTTTCAACAGCTATCCAGCACAAAATCAGAGTGGTTCCGGAGGGCTGAGAAAACCCAGCCTAGTCAGCCCAAGCCACCCTCCACCAGCTCCACCTATTGGCTCGCCACAGGGTGCCAGGCCAGGATTTGCACCACCTCCTGCACCGCCACCACCGCCACCGATGATGGGTGTTCCTCCACCGCCTCCACTGTCAGGCTTTCCGACTGCAGGCATCCCACCGCCACCATCTCCACCCTCATTCCCACCTCACCCCGATTTTGCTGCCCCTCCTCCTCCACCACCTCCAGCAGCAGAATACGCTGCTGTGCCTCCACCCCTGGTACCCCCGCCAACAGGAGGTGCACCGCCCCCTCCTCCGCCCCCGCCCCCTCCTGGTCCACCTCCATCGTCTTTTGGCGGCATGGATGGGCCAGAAACCCACCTTCCACAACCAGATTCGGGATCATCCAAGGCCAAGTCCTCATTGCCTGCTGTTAGTGAGGCTAGGAGCGACTTGCTTTCTGCTATCCGTCAAGGTAAGTCTCTTCTCATTTTGCATATCCTAAGTTTTAATGCCTGAAACGAGACCAATGGATTGGGAACTTGGAGTCCTCCAGGTGTTTTAGAGCACCCATCAGCCTCAGCCAGCATGCCTAGTGGTCAGGGATTATGAGAGTTGTGGTCCTGCAATGTCTGGACTAGACATTTCACGTGTGGGTGTGTATTTTGGTGGGGCTTACTGGAGCTGCTAGATGCCTAGTCATTTAGCAAATGTGTACTGGGAATCCTTGCAACAAACCTTCCTTTTTCACTCCAGTGAGGGTATCCTCTTTGAACCTTTGCAATTTTGCCTGTTTGTAACTGTCTATCACATGTCCTAAGCTGAGAAAGCAGTGAAAGAGCCACACTTTTTTACTCTCGTTTCCTTATTACTCATTTGAATTCTTCACTGCCAGTGATAGTTCCACCACCAAATTGGTTCAGACTATAGCTGTAGCGGAATATTAGGACCAATTGAAACTTTAAAAACTGCACGTCTAAATAACTGCTGGTTGTTGTCTTTTCAAAGGCTGCTTGTTGCTGCTTTATCCCAGTATGCTTTACTTCAACCTGAGATCCTTTGCTCTTAACATAATTAGTCTTCAATAAGCTTTCTGCACCACAGTCTTCTGATGATCATGTATTACGCCCCTGCTAAGTCCTGCACCAGCAACATTTTTTTAAAAAATCATCTCTCTTGAGATCTAGCTTGTTTGTTTTCAGTTGGCCCTAATAAAGGTATTTCATATTACTCCCATGTCTGCCCCGCCCCCAACACTGAGCAGCCCTTATGGGGCAGTCCCACAACATTACCAAAGACCACTGTTCCCTGGAAGGACCACCTCTAACCTTTCCTTTCCTCCCTTGATAGGATTCCAGCTCCGTAAAGTAGAAGAGGAGCGTGAACAAGAGAAGCGAGAAGTTGTGGGCAACGATGTGGCAACCATCCTCGCCCGCCGCATCGCAGTGGAATACAGCGATTCTGAGGATGATTCTTCAGAGTTTGATGAGGACGACTGGTCCGATTAAACACCAGCCCACCATTTGGGGGTGGGGGGAGTGGGTTTGAGACAAAACTTACATAACTTCTGAGGTTGCCAAAACCATTTCCCCCTTATTTTTCTCTCTCGTCCAGTAACCAAAGATCAATGTGCCCAACTTCCAAGTAACCACCAGCCTCTTTCCATTGTTGGGATTTGTGCCTCCTTCCAGCAAGAAGGAAACTGAAACTAACCCCAGATATCCGTATTCTCAGGGTCCTAATCAAAAAAATCTGCTCTCTTGGGGTTGGGAGATAATTTTGTAAAAACAAAACAAAAGAACATTGCCTGTCCTGTCGCAGTCAGTATGTGTTGGTTAAAATGATGGGCATCTTGAAGGGCAATAAAACTTCCAGGCGATGCTCTTCCACTTTACAGCTTTACAGCTTTACAGTGTGCATTGGAAATACTCTGCAAGCAGCCGGTGATTTGCCTTATCCAGTCAAATCGGCAAATGGATTTGAATTTCTATTCCCATCCCATCCCATCAACAATCTCCAGAATGCTCAATTCAAAATGTAAAGCCCAATGTTCATGAGAGTTGCACTATATGCAGAACAGTTACTCCCCCCCCCCCAATTCCTGTTTTGACGGTCTGAGGTGTGACCCAGAGGTCATAGATCCTTTTTGCCCAGTTCCATATTGCCAAGCTGGTTTCACTAATGATAGAATTAGTACCTGCTACAAGGGCAATAACTTTCTGCCATGTTCCCCAAATAGAAAGCAATAAGCACTGGGCATGATTTTGTATTGCAGACAATATAGCTGCATCATCTTGGTCTGTTGGGGGCCAAAAGTGGATCAGATTGGTTGCACATCCGTTTCAAAATTATGAGACTGTAACATCTTATATTAGAGGCTGAGCAGCAGCAATTTCAAGCCATTGGCCCAAGCTCTCTGTCTCTTCAGGCATCACATGGGGACTTTGAGGATTAAAAAGTTGGTCATCTCTATACGCCTAGTCTGCTTCACTAGCTTGCTTTAATCCTTCAGCAGTTAGTTCCAAGGTCTATAGCAGCAGTTTTAGATCCCCTTACCTCTTTTTAGACAGGTGCCTTTTTACATTAGCCTTTCTAGGTCAAGAGCTCTGGATACATTAGCTTCTCTGGGTCAGTTAGCTCCCTTGGCCAAGAGCTGGTGTGCAGAAGGTCCTTAAATTTATCTGGGGATCCTGGTTACTGGAATACTGTAATGACAGCCACTCCCATAATGAGGGTGCTTGTTCTGGGTGCTAATTGGGAGCTCTCCTTTTTTTTAACCTGTTTGAAATTCTTTACCTTTCCACATGCCTCTCCTCCTTTTTCACACTGTGACATGCCTTGTAACAGCTTTTGTACACCAAAGGAAAGGTGTCATCTTGTTTCTTTCTGTCTCATGCTTCCAACCCTTTATTACATGTCCTTTTTTTTAAGGGTGTCTGATGCCAGAGCTTAGTGTTTTGTTTTAGCCAAGGGACCAAAGTATTAAAAGTAGGCACAAATTTGTTTTGGACTGAACTCAGAGTCCCAGCGAGGGAGTGGGGAGAATTTGTATCTAAACTACACTATGAGGTTCCTTCAGACATTCCCTAATGGAAGGCTGGTGCTTTTTGCTTTTGGTGCAGAGCTGCTTTAAGCATATGTTTCCATTGTCTTAAGAAAAAGGAGACAATAGGCTCTTCACTGGTGGATTAGCACTCAATGTTAGAACACAGGATATTTGTATCATAAAAAGGCAGGGGGGAGACAGGGTGCTGTTTTCACATAGACCATGCATCCTGGAAGGTGCTGTGTCTGCTGTGATTTGGAACACTGAGTTTCTTGTTCAGGCACCAAGATCAGCAGCTGGCTTATAATGTCTGTTGTATAATGTGCCTTGCAGTTCTTCCCAGTCTTTGCTCTCAAAATCTATGCAACAGAACCTGCAGCTTTGCACTAGCGTAACTATTTAGAGATGGCATTTGTGTGTGTGGTGTTCTGTCTAAGGCAGTGTTAGCCAAACTTGACCCTCCAGCTGTTTTGGGACTACAACTCCCATCAACTCCCTGACCACTGGTCCTGTTAGCTAGGGAACAAGTAATACTCTCTGCAAAGCCTAGTGTACACATTAAGGATCACTAAAAATGGACTGGTTATTCATGGACTTGCTACGCCCATTATTTTGTAATCAGGTCAGTGGTAGTTAGCGTGGCAGTCCACCCCACCCCATCCCACCCAGTGGATGGTTGCACACTGGCTAGCAGCTTGAACCTAAGTTTGTAATCGAGTGAACAGAAATAGGAGTAGTGGCCATCCTTAATTGTGCAGAATAAACATGTGAACTTCTCAGCATGTGCTTGGAAAGGTTTTATAGTGGTGATGATAACTTTCTGCAGTCTTCAGATGTGGATATAACATATGCACAGAGCAATTCATTTTGAGAGTTGAGACATAAGTTACCTGTAACCAGTGCTATTTTTCTAGAAAAAGAGGTGCCGGAACTAACCATGAACACCTCCCTTGTTCTCTTATAATGCCAATAGTGCCCACCTGAGAGACGCCGGAACTGAGTTCCAGTGAGTTCCAACTGAAAAAAAAAGTCATGCCTGTAACTCAGGTTCTCCCTGCTAAATCTGTGTCTGCTGTTGCCCTTTGAAATGGGCAGCATGATGCATTGGAGAAGGACATGCAGCCAATGGGAGTTTAAGATGAACGGTTTAAAATAAGAGATTGTTTGCCCAGATTGTATCATTGAGGCTTGTGAACCTCTGCCTGCAGCCGTGTAATGGGGGCTGTCAAAATACTGAACATTTCCTGTCCCATTTTTGCAGTTTAGTTTTGCAGTAGAAACAGGTATCAAGCTTTCTAAAAGAAATCACGCTGTCTCCTCTTGAAACATCTGCTAGTGTGTGCTGGTAACCAAAATGGAAACAAGATGTGTGTCCGGGATGGTTTCCATCAGCCAGTTGGCTTTTTTTAAAGCTATTTTGACTGTAGAATCGCTTGTCTATCATGGGCATTGTGTGGTTTCTGTTGACTGGTTTTTAACCCCTCCTTGAGGGTTCTTAAATTTTACTCAGCAGTCTTCTAAAGTAGAGTGATAGGGAACAGCCATTGTTCAGTTAAGTGAAGGGGGGGAGCAAATTTCTTGAAAACCCTTATGCTTGAGCCTTTTTAGGCCCCAGGACCCTTAAGCACATCCGCTAGAACTGTGGTACCCCCCCATTGCATTCTGCAGAAAGCTTGCCAGTTACTCTGCCCCCTTCTCTTTTACTTCACAGCACATTTCCGAGTCAGTCCTTTTTCAAGTTCTTTTAGCCTTTGCTTTTAAAGTGCTCTTTCTCTTCTTCCTTGGCTCCAATTTTCGACCACAGCCACCTGGGATGCAGAGTGTTCGGTCTTAAACCTCTTCTACAGCCAATGAATTTCCGCTTCTTTCCTTGCTTCTCCATCACCGCTGACCAAATCCAAGGAGAAAGACCCTTGACTGTCCCAGAGGCCACCAGCAGCCTTTCAGTTCTCTAAAATGTGCCTCCTTTTGAACTACAGGCTTGGGGAAAGGAGAGAGTGTCCTTTTTGACAAGCTGTTCATGCCTTCAGAGACTCTCAAGCTGTTCTGTGTTTGATTTTCCTTTGTATGTACCTTTAAAAAAAAAATCTTTATAAAGTGTGGGGTGGGATAAGGGTCTGATTATATATTTTTTTTGTATTGCCGCTTTTAACACAATTCATTTTAAATGATTTTTAAAAAACTAACCAATTTCTTTTTGTTTCCTGTCTAGGATGATAGATGACTTTGATAGATGCCTTATTTCGTATGACACAAATATATTTATAAGAGTAATTATTTCATGTGTATTGCTAGGGGCTCACCTAAACAAAAGATGGAATGCTGAAAGAAACCGCCTTTAATTCTCCCAGTTCCCCTGGTGGATTTTACGGTAGAGAAACATCATTAGATGCGCCTTGGTATCTGTGAGGGAAGCAGTTATGACTGGAGTTGCTTGATTCTTACTGGGGGCAAAATATTCCTGTCAGACCAAGGGTTGGTTCACATGCTTCTGAGTGGTAGGCACAATGGCTGCTGCCATGTTTTCCCAGATTGATCATCATGTATATTTTCACATGCTTACTGAATAATGAGGCATGTGGTCAGACAGCCGTTTTTGTTGCTGTACATGCAGAACTTACTAGATGCCCAGAAACTGGCTGTTGCCATAGATCCAGTGGTTGTGTGAACTTGCCCTTGGGTGGCTCTAAGAAAATATTGTCTGATCTTACCAGAAAATGCTATTATGAGCCCACCTTTGTTCAACACTGAGGCCAGTAACGGCTCGATGGTGAGGTGCCAAATTTTAGTTTGGCCACCTTGGGTGAGGAGGGAAGTAACATTGCTTTCCTTCATTACCTTCAAACAGAATTTGGCCCTCCTTGTTCATCTGATTATTATTTCCGGCTACAGTTCTTAATCCAGACTTTTTAAATAATTGCTTTTATAAACTCTTCCAGTCTTCTCTCTCTCTTCTCTCTCTTTTCTTGAGGGACTTTTTGTAATGTACATGTGATTTTAAAAAAATACTTTTTACCATGTAAACTTTAAAGAAATGATAAATTCTTTCTAGCCAATCAAAAGTTGTGTTCATATTACTTGGAAGTGGAGGGGGGGGATGATACGTTTGAGGTAGGAGAAGTGTAAGATGCTTTCTTCTTCATGCTCAGTCTGAGGATTGAAAAGGCTCTTAAACTGCTGTTGTGTCTATGCAAACTAAACTTAAAAAGGAGGTCACCTTCCTCAGCCTCCCTGTGCTCATAATGCCCCAAATAAATAGCTAACCTTGTCATTTGTTTCCAGGAAATTCTATCTGTCAAAGCAAAAATGGTCTTGCCAGATCAGATCAAGACTGTCTCATCCAGCAGTTCATCTCCCAATAGTGGCCAGCCAGATACCTTAGTTCATGGGTAATAGCTGTGCCCTGTTTGTAATAAGAATGCACTGCCTTCAGTCACGAAAGCTCTGTTTCTGGCTTTGTTGATAAGTCTATTTTCTGCACATTTGTCTAATCCTCAACAAAAAACAACCAACCCACATCAACCATATGTGTAGCAGAAATTCCACTTAGCCTGGTCGGTGTCTGTAAGATTGAGGGTGTTCCAAAGCTTATTTTAGGTGGAGATACATGAAACTTCAGCTCATATTCACGTTGTTTGCGCAACTCTGTTGAATCTTGGATTGGCACCTAGAAACAGACTTCAGTTATGCACGTTACCCTTAACACACGCATCTCCCTAAAAGATTTTTAAGAAGTCTGGAGTGAATCGTGAAAGAGCCCTGGACTCTGCAAGGCAAACAGAGAATTCTGCATTTACAGAAGAATGTCCGTAGTGGTTTCCCAAGTCCAAAATACAACTTTTCATGTTCCTTCCTTGCCCTTGTCACTGTTCCTAATAAATCCTCGCTTGCTTTTTTCTCTCTATCTGCTGCCCCAAAGTTTCAAATTCATTAGTTCAAGAAAAAATAGTGGTACAGAAGGATGCTATAGATGTGTTTTTGTACTGTTGGAGGGTTTTGTCAGTCAGTTTGGTGTCCTTGGCCTTCTGTATTAAGTATTTTGTCATGATTAGGCACTGGCCTCGCTTAATATTATTGTATCTTCCCCTCCCCACCCCACCCCACAAAATAGTGTATTAAAAACAGTGACACAAAAATGGCAAAACTATTAAATCTATATAGCCATTGGCCATTTCAAATACCTAGAAGTTTAGAGAATGTCTGCAAAGATAATAAGAGGTGGATGGAGACCAGGGTTTCAGTAGTGGGAAAAACTCTCACTTAAAAGGGAGTATAATTAGCTAGGCAATATCTCCTTCCTTATTCTCAACTGCTGGAGGGAGTCATCCCAGCAGCTTCTGATTTTCTCAGCCTGCACCAACTAAAGGCCACATAGCTCAAACATCTTTCTGTAATCTGAAGCAGGCATTGCTCAGCATGCCAAATTTCATGTTGGATTGTGCATTTGTATGGAAAAGCACAGGGGGAAAATAATCATACTAAACAGCAAGCTCGTTCCCAGAAGACATCTGTTTGTAGAAGAAATACCAAAAATCCTTAGGAGAAGAAACCCCCGAGACAGGAAAAACCACCCAAACAGTTCATGTGGACTGAGTGTGCTGAGTAGCCATGGAATGCAGACCGGGAGAATGGAAAACAGAATGGGGGAGGGAGCGAGAAGAAGGGGGAAGACGAGGTAAAGTATTGCACGAGGTAAAGTATTGCACTTGGGCAAAAAAAATGAGAGACACAAATACAAGATGGGGGACACCTGGCTTGAGGGCAGTACATGTGAAAAGGATCTAGGAGTCTTGGTTGACCACAAACTTGACATGAGCCAACAGTGTGACGCGGCAGCTAAAAAAGCCAATGCAATTCTGGGCTGCATCAATAGGAGTATAGCATCTAGATCAAGGGAAGTAATAGTGCCACTGTATTCTGCTCTGGTCAGACCTCACCTGGAGTACTGTGTCCAGTTCTGGGCACCACAGTTCAAGAAGGACACTGACAAACTGGAACGGGTCCAGAGGAGGGCAACCAAAATGGTCAAAGGTCTGGAAACGATGCCTTATGGGGAACGGCTAAGGGAGCTGGGCATGTTTAGCCTGGAGAAGAGGAGGTTAAGGGGTGATATGATAGCCATGTTCAAATATATAAAAGGATGTCACATAGAGGAGGGAGAAAGGTTGTTTTCTGCTGCTCCAGAGAAGCGGACACGGAGCAATGGATCCAAACTACAAGAAAGAAGATTCCACCTAAACATTAGGAAGAACTTCCTGACAGTAAGAGCTGTTCGACAGTGGAATTTGCTGCCAAGGAGTGTGGTGGAGTCTCCTTCTTTGGAGGTCTTTAAGCAGAGGCTTGACAACCATATGTCAGGAGTGCTCTGATGGTGTTTCCTGCTTGGCAGGGGGTTGGACTCGATGGCCCTTGTGGTCTCTTCCAACTCTATGATTCTATGAGGTCTGGAATCTTGAACAAGAGCACCCTACCATTTGTATCAAATATTTTTTAGACTATTCAGTGTCCATGCTCATAGAAAGAAATTGGCCATTCATTTCAGGTTGATGTAACGCCATCTTCTATTTCCTTTTGCTGGAATTCTTCATCAGTATACTGCTAGGACCACCAGGGGAAGTGCCCCAGGCTGTATAGAGTACGTGGTTGCACATGGCTTCCCCTAAAGAATGCTGGGAATCGTAGTTAAGTGTGGTGGAAGCTGCAGCTCTGCAAAGAGTAAAGCCCAGCTCCCAATGTTCTTTGGGGGTGCCATGGCCTGTGTGCAGAGCCCAACCACCCATGAGGCAGGGTGAAGTGGCTGCCTTAGGCAGCGAAAGTGCAAGAGGCAGCTCCCTGCCACTTCCACCCCTGGCAGAATGCCCCCTCTCACAGGAACATTCCAGCACACAGTGTTGCCACTTGTGTTCTCCGCCCCTGAAGCGGAGAAGACAAGCGTCAAGGCCTTATGGAACGCTCTCCCTCTTGCCAAGGGAGGGGTTCCAGCGGGCCACTTTGCCTCTCATCTTCCCTGCCCCTGGGGTGGCATGGATGAGCATTAAAGCATCGCAGAGCACTCCCCCTCTCGCCAAGTGTATCTGCCTATGTGTATCTGCGGTCATTAGTTAACAACTTAGATTTAGTTAGGGCTGGCAGAACCAGCAATAATTACAAGACTCTCAGTGGTTTCAAGATCTAGAGAGAGTTTGGGCAGGCATCCACTTGAATATTTCTGCCTCCATGCTTGTTTTCCTCACTGGAAGTGGATTGGGCACTGCAATGTTGTTGTTTTCTGTCAACACAAATTTGGGGAGAGAAATAAGAGGGAGATTGATCGCTAAATGTGCAAGCTGCTTCTGATGTTATCAGCTTGCAGGGAGATGCCCTTTTGTGCTCACATTTCAAACCCTAAGACTTTGGGTAGGAGTCATGAAATATCTCAGTCCCTGGCCTGCCCCTTGATTCCAAAATGCACACAGTTGAGTCATTCCAAGCTTTTTAAAATAGTTTTTAAGCTTCTCCTTGGCTTGCTGCTTAATTAAGGGGCTTAAGACATTTTGAGAACATTTCGGGAAAGAAGCAAGCTATCATGGTTTGAAAATGAGTTGAGGAAAGAGTCTCAGTACAAGAAGCCAGGATGGTGTAGTGCAGAGGGCCAGACCAGTAGGGAGGTCAGTGCTCCCAAGGGCCACTTTTGGGCCCCTGCCAATCATGACAGGTGATTGTAACATGAGACATGCCCCATGTGAGATTTCTTATGTGAACCTGGACCTACAAGTCATACAAGATAAAACAAACAAGCCGCTGGGCTAAATTCAAAGTTTTAAAGTCCTTTAAAAGATTGGGATCAGAATACCTGAAGGATCGTCTCACTGAATTGATCCCTGCTTCCTGCAGATGCCATCTTATCAAGAAATCTGTTCTGCACAATGTAGGAATTGGACTTCTAGTGTGGTGGCAGCAGCCCTTTGGAATTCCCTTCCCTCTGTCTCTATTGTCTTTTTGGCATCTACTGAAGACCTACTTCTAACAAGCTCGTTTGCAGCCTGCATCTGTATTGGAATTTGGTTTTAGTTGTTTTGTCTCCTGTACGTTTGCTGCCCTGAGCTCCTTTGGGAGGAAGGGCAGGAAATAATAAGAATAAAGATAGTAAATAATTTATAACCACCACCATCCCAAAAGAGAGAACAAGACCATGCTGAAAATGGGCAAAGGTTTGGCTTTAGAAGTTGTGGGAAGAGTAAGGTGGGGAGGATTGTGCAATGCTGAACCACCCTTCCTTCTGCCACTTAACTCCTTTCTTCTGGAGATCCTGAAGAGGAAGCCTCACATTTTTGTTCAGAGCTTGAGATCAGGCAACTGTTTGCTGAGGTGATGTTATCTGGTGGTGATGTCGCAAAGTGAGCACTTTGCAGCAGAAAATGCAGGGGTTCACTCATTTGGAGGACCCCCCCCCCCAAAATGCAGCAGTACTGCTAATATTTCACATTTAAGGTAAAGAGTAAAGGTTGCAGCGCTCATCTCGCTTTATTGGCTGAGGGAGCTGGTGTACAGCTTCCGGGTCACGTGGCCAGCCGCTTCTGGCGAACCAGAGCAGTGCACGGAAACGCTGTTTACCTTCCCGCCGGAGCGGTACCTATTTATCTACTTGCACTTTGATGTGCTTTCGAACTGCTAGGTTGGCAGGAGCAGGGACCAAGCAACGGGAGCTCACGACCTTCTGATCGGCAAGCCCTAGGCTCTGGTTTAACCGACAGTGCCACCTGCGCTTTAGTCATGTCCAAATAGGTGTCCAAACAAGATAGCCAGAAGTTATACCTTCCTATGTGGAAAAGGGGAGTAAGATGTTAAGACCACTGAGTGGGTATTTTCTCTTCCAGCTTGCAATTCTGAAACCATATGGGTTCACAAGATCCACTTCTGTTGGTTAGCAAGTCACAGTATAGATGGGTTTTTAAAGTTAATGTATATTTCAGTTAGTTTTGATTGATTACTGCTGTTAATAGGAACTGATTAGGATGGGTTGGTCTCCCCCCCCCCATCCCTTTTCCATTTCCCCTTTTTTATTTGCAAAAAGAAGAATAAATGCTTTCCACATTCTGAAAGAAAAGTAATACAAATTGCCGTGAAAAGAGGGTGGCAGTGCAAGACCATTAAATCCAGAGTCTTAACATTCCTATCTCCCATTTCCTCTCTAATTAAGGAGGAAGATTGTAATCAGGAAATACTTCGTGGGGAGCAGTCAGGGAGTGGGGTGCTTAGCTAAATCCTGCCCTCTGCGTATGCTTGGGGC